CATTGGACTGTGGAGCTGCACTGTTTTTAACTTTTAATCCAATACTTTTGATACCCTCTGCAGTAGGTAACTGACTTGAAAAGGCAAAACTGTATTTGAAATAGGGAGAATGAAAAGATAAGAGAGAAAGCAAGAGATGAAAAAATCACAGGCTTTTGAGTGGAAAGATACAATATTTTTTCTGAAGAAAACCCTATATATGTTAGAAAACAATTCCTGGCCTGTGCCTGGGTGTTAACAAGGCAGGTGAACCAAACTTGTGTTGACCTCCACAGCTTCCACATGCTCATTGACAGTATTTTCAATAACAGCAGGGATTATATTATTTTCTCTCTCATGCTATATTCCTTTGAACTAAACAAATATTTTGATTTGCAGCTGAATCAGGAAATACGCCCTCATCTTTCTTTCCAGCATGTCAGTGGGGTAGTGACACAATGCTATGTGTTGTTCTGAAACCATGGAAAGTTTTTATGACTCTCTTTAACTCAGTGAATGATAAACTTCAGAAAAATTAATCTCTGGGCTTGGTAGTATGCTTTTTCATCTTGGAACATTAAGATCCAAAATGTACTCTTTCCTCCATCCCTAGAGAATGTTAAGTGGCACCATTAAAAATCATTCTAAAATGCAACAGCTTTCTGAAGGCAGAATAAGAGCATCGGCACCATTAGCATAAGCAGTCTGTGAGGAGAAGGCACTACAATTGATTATTAAAGCAACCTGCTCTAATTCATATTAGTCTTTCCTTTTTTCCCTTCTTTCTCTTTCTCTTTTCTCTTTCTTTTTTTCCCCTATCCTTTCTTTCTTGCTTTCTTTTCTTCTGACTTTCATTGCCACTGGGCATTTAACTTTTAGAAAGGCAATTCTCAATTAAAAGCTCACCCAGATGGTTACTGAGCAAAGGTTGTTTTGGATAACTGGTGCTGGCTAGATGCTGCTTGTCTTGTAAGGAATAAAGCATGCATTGCAAAAACTGGAGGATATAAACATACCATACAGACTATCCAGCACTCTTACATCCACTCGTGGTGTCAGCATTGCCAACCACTGCACAAACTATTACTGATTTTTAAAAGGTGATTTTATAAAAATTCCTGAACAGCCCTGCACTGGATGATAGGAGGATGTTAGATATGTAAGGTTTAAAAATAAAAGCTGGAGTTTTAATTTTTTTCCTTCTCTAAGAGAAAGCCTTCAGCAATCTACATACTTGGAGGACAAGGGTGGTATAAGTTTTGAGTTCCTAAGGATGAAGATGTCTGTCATAGAATAGTATGCATGAACCAGTGCTTGCAAAAATTGCACACAAATGAGCATGCTGATGCTACCAAATGAATATCAGCTGTAAGATACAGGTCCTTTCCCTATTCACATCCATTAGCAATCTCCTTCACTAGTGTTGTACAACAATTCTCTTTTACAAATATTTAATGTTCACTTTCATCCCTAATGATCATCCCTGGGTACAGTGAAATCAAAAGGAGAAACTGTAATGCCCTCACCCCTAATCTGGCAAATACTAAGCTTCCTGTTTTATGAAGCAGTAAAGTATTTCTGTCCTTTAATCTTTCATTTCAAGAGTGAAAAATTGAATAGATGCCACAATTTAATGTAATGAAAAATAATCACAGTGCTCCTGAAAGCTAATGTAGCAGAAGATTCTTCTTAGAGAACCTCTGCAGTAAACTACACTCCACTAATCTTATCTGCTATTCTCAACAGGTGGGGGCCTGGGGTTTATGCTCTAGCAATTCTGTTTTACTGGTCAACACAGAATTTTAATTAAACATAGCTTATAGGCTGAATCTAAAATGGAATAGTAAAATCAGAGCATCACCTTACATGGAGTGTATTATGGTACACAAAGGTAATCTTGTTTTTCTTTCTTCTGAACCCATGGCTAACTTATGATTTTAAATAATCAGCTGTTCAATCCATGCATTTAAAAGTGTGTTCTCCTTAGTATGTCAAATACATTAAATTTTTACAGATTTTTACACTAGTAAATGGAATTTTTCTTTTTCCTTCTCAGTAGTTGTGCCAGTTCATAAGTACAATTAAGTATTACTTTAGGGAAAAAATTGGCCAATAGGTTAATAGTGAATCCTCAATTATTTCAGATTTTTATGAATATGTAAAATTAAGTATGTTATCTGCATCTATATACATAAAAATACCCACTTTCAAAATTGGACAAAATATCTGCTTATTTACTTATTTATTTCATACTTTGAAAAAATGCATCTACTAATGGACTTTGGGAGAGGAACTTGTGCACACCTGTGTGTGTATGTATATGGGGATGTGTGTGTGTTTGTGTGTACTTTTATGTACAGGTCTTACTGGTACCTGTCTGAGTTTTCTTTAAAGAAATAGAATTTTAGATGGACAGATATGAAAGCAACATGAAGTTAATTAGCCAAAGAAAATGGTGCAAGGTTACATGAAAATAAAATGTACTAATAATACATAAGCTAATATTTTATATTCATCCTGTATCATAGTGTTTGGTAAGAGCATAATTTTTCATAGAAGATTTTTGCTTTGCTTATCATGCATGAGTTGTCAATTAAACTTTCTGTAGGGGCAGTACAGGATTTGTGCATCAGCTGATTTCTTTTTTGAATATTTATGGATTACATTACACAGTCTTGTCCCAAGATACACAGGATTTTGTGAGAGCTGTTGTAGGGTGATTCGCTTCATTTTACTCAAGTTCTGAGAATGTCTGGGAAGAGCATCAACAGGGCTTTATAATGTTTAGAGCCTCAACATGTCAGTGATGTGCCCCTGCAACAACGTGGGTCAGCAGCCTCCTGGGCTACATTGGCAGAGCATCACCAGATCAAGGGAATGATCCTGCCCCTCTGCTCAGCACAGCTGAGACACAGCTGGAGTGCTGGATCCAGGGCTCCCAGAACAGCAGAGACATGGACATAAAGACATTCCAGTGAATGGCCACTAAAACGATTAAGGGATGGAGCATCCTTACTAGGAGGAAAGGATGAGAGACCTGGGACAGTTTAGCCTGAACAAGTGAAGGTTCAAGGAAGATTTTGTCAATCTAAATAAATACATGAAGGGAGGTTCAAGGACAGAGCCAGGCTTTTTGCAGTGGTGTCTGGACAGGAGGCAAAAGGGCACAGGCTGAGTTACCCAGAAAGGTTGTGGAGTCTCCATCCTTGGATATATTCAAGCGCTGACTGAAGATGGTCCTGAACAATCTGATCTGGCTGACCCTGCCTTGAGCAGAGGAGTTGGGCTAGACAATCTCCAAAGTTCCCTTCCAACATCAACCATTCTGTAATTCTGAGACCAGCTTGAATACCTTATGTTGTCTTTATTCATGTGAAAAGACAATAACAAAATAGCCCTGACAAAAGTAGTTCAGAATGTGGACTTCGGAAGATTTCAAAACTAACAATATTCTAAGAATAATAGGAAAAATTGAGTATCAATATTAAGCCTTCTGCTACCAAAAAAAAAAAAAAAAAAAATGCAATGTGGCATTTCCTCATCTGCCTGGCTGTGGCAGAGGGTTTTATCCTTCACTGCAGGATTGGAATAGGCTAAGCAGGAACATCCCCTGGGGGCAATGTGACATGAAGATCACAGCAGTCTAAACGGGTTCACTCAAGAAAGGATCAGCCACTACAGATGCATTTAAAGGAGAAGTAACAAGCAGAGATTAACATGCTTTTCTTTTATCCCTTTTATCACTCAGGCTTTACTTTCCTATTTGCTCCTTTAAGCAAGTCAATAATTGTCCATTCATATTGTCAGTGAAAAAAAAAACTCAAGTCCTCCAGGAATACTTCTTTATGACTACTGTAATGACTGTTCAATTTGATCTACATAATTTCTCTTCTGTCTAGTTCAGTACTCATTGTCTCCAAAAAGTTACTTTAAAGTAGTGCAACAGAGTTTAAAAAGACAAAAAAAAAAAAAAAATCTAAGATAAGAAATTCCAGAGTCAAATTTCCTTTTAGAATCTCAGTACCACTTCCCATACATTGTGTCATAGTCTTTGACTGCACAGAAATCAATACCTGTGCATAATGGGAATGCCCATCCCTTTGTGAGTCTCCTCCATCCATGTCACCACTTGGTACTGAGGTTTTTACTCTGTCCATGTCAACTGAAATACTTGTTGCCTCTGTCTGGTGCCTTTTAAACACAAGATGAAATTCTGTTGGCAGTATAATATTTTTTTAAGCATTCAGTGTTAGTGATAATAAAATAAGTATCAATGTACATGTATAGATATGTGGCAGTTTGGTTATTAAATGAATGATTTTCAAGATTGTTGAATTAATATTCACAACAGTTTCATTTTTAAGACCAGAATGTTTTAGGGATCTCTGTTTCTGGAAAATGCAGTTAGCTTTACGTCCAGAGGATGCTACAATATCTTATTTTGGTTTGTGCTTTCATGCACTGTTCTGTGCTCCTGTGTTCCTGATATATAACTTACCTATGGAACAGGATGCCTTTGGAGATTGTAGAATTGCCATCCCAGTAAGAATAAAAATGCAAACATTTCAGTATCCTAACTGTACTTATATGGCAGTAGACAAACTCTTTTCATTCCTTCTAGACCAACTTTTCCAGGATTCCTAAGAAAAAAAAAGCTCAAAAAGCAAATTCATTTTTTGTGTGTTTTCCTCATGAAAATAGAATGCCCTCACTTCCTCTGGTAGTGATGTCACACAAGATGTGCTAGAGTTGTTGGCTCATGCAACTGCTGGAACAATAAAGAAGTTCAACCAAAATGTGTTGCTCTAGAAACTAAGAGCTGGTTTTACATGCACATGTCCAGGTTACTACTACTTTTGGCTGCCATGGGGTGTGTTCAAGATTTGGCATTTGCTTTAGTCACTGTATCTAATTTCACTATTATTTCCCTCAACACCCAGCAAAGATCCACAATTTTGTTATTAGAAATCTTTGCATTCTGTACTGCATTTACTGAGAGGGATTAACTCTTTGTTTTTCAGAGCTTCCATATGGCTGGGAGAAAATTGATGATCCCATTTATGGCACTTATTATGTTGAGTAAGTTCCCAAGTTCAATATTAAGTTGCTATTAATATGTCATGACCTAATACTGGTATCCTCTGCAATGCTCAGCCTGGCAAGGAATGGGGACAATTACTTGGCATGTTAAACTATGGGTATGGCAGGAATTCTCAGTCACCAAGGCAGTTAATGTATATTCAGAGTATATTTGAATATATAGGTATATTCAAAGTGTCCCAAATCAGTGACTCAAGCATTCAGTCATTCTCTTTATCCAGGGTCTGGTTCCATGGTACCATTCTAGCTGACACTTGTACAAAGAGCAATATCCATTAAAGAGATGTTGCATTTTCTATCTAAGCTTTGGATATTCAGCAAGGTATAAATCTTGTTAATCAATTAACAGAGCAAATCATAATAATTTCAGCTCAGTTAAAATCCATTTCTGGGTAATCCTCTCTTGCTGCAAATCAAGTGTTTATACTGGTTGTGCCAGAAGTCAAGGTTTTTATATGCTGTATATGAAATTTAATGGGTTTTTTTGAATTTAAAAGTGCAGCTGAAAACAATATAAATTCTATTTTCATAGCACAATGCTTGCTTTCATTTTCTTCAGGTTCTGTTTTAGTTACGAAACAAGAAAAAAGCTTCTTCCTCTGTGCAAAGGCCAACAAAATGCTTTTGTTTGAAGTAATGGTAGGACCTGGCCAGTTTGTACATAAAATAAGTAAATCTGAGAGATTATGTCCTCTGCTTTTTAATTTAACATAACGAATGAGACTTATGAAAAATGAATCAAGAGTCAGATTGTGATACCTGTTTGGAAGGGGCCAGTTCTCACTTTGCTCTCTACAGTCAGTATGCAAGAGAGGAGACTGGAAACCACTCCTGTCACTGTGCAGATAGCACTTGCAAGGTTGAGAAACAACTATCCATTAGTGCCTTTTATTAAACAAGAGAGATCTTCAGAGAATATTGTCCCTGTTGTCCCTGACCTAAAATCTCCATTTCAAATCTTGACACTCAAGCAATATATTTATCTAGTTGTTTCATAGAAAATTGAAAATTTCCTTTGTGCATCACATTTTTCCCTTGGTCTCTTGAATCCATACCAACACACTGACTGCAGGATTGCCCTGGAAAGTATTGGAGATGCAGCTTTTCCTGACTTCAGGATATGCTGCTGTTACGCAAAAGTTCAGGTGTGCAGGGAGATCAAAAACTCATCTAATTGCTGGAAGTCTAGAAGATGTAAGATGCCCCTTTCCTACCTGCTGTCATAGCAGCAGCTTGTGAATGCCCATGCATGTTCCCCAGCCTTCTACAAAGCAAACAATTAACAGAAAATGGTGTTTGTTCCTTGCTTTGCTGATTCCTTCTGTCCCATTCTCCAAATGCCAGAGCACCTGCTCTCCCTCTTTGTCCCCAGCTTGCTTCCTGCCCTCAGGTGAGAGAGACAGCAACTCCATTTACCTTGCTGCTCAGCTCAAGTCACCTCAGTCAGTCCAGATTCAAGCAAAAGGATAAGTTTTGAAGTGCCTAAGTAATACCATTAAATTACTCCCCCTTCTGATGCCTGAGTTCTTTTATGATGTCCCCAGGTAGGCAGGGGCTGCAGTTCTCATAGAATTTTATACTTAACCTCTGCCAAAGATTTCTGCAGGTGCAATTATGCAGCTGCTGGGTGTAAGTAAAGCTTCTGCCCCAGTGGTTTTCAGTGTATTGTGGGGTGTAACAGGTGGTGTGCAATTTCTGTGCAGTAATCTCTTACTGAGGCTCCCTTGGTTGTTGGTGCAGCCCGAGGCATTCTGGCACCAGCAAGGCTCACACTCCACTGCAGAGTCAGAAAAGGAACAAGTATTTATCTGCATTTCATGTCCAACCACATTTAAACAGATGCAAGGCACCAAGCCCAGATGTTATCGTGCAATTACATATTTTAAGGATGTTAGTGCCAAATTTATTAATACTAGCACAGATAAGATTTGTGGACAAATACATCAAACCTACTGCAGTCTCTGAGGTTTTTAGAAGTGGAATGGATGCTCATGGAGTGGTATTAAAACTGCAGCCCTGCTAAATTCACATGGAGTTTTATAGTCAGTAAAAATGTAGCTGTAGTTTAATTTGCTGTCTGAGCTCAATAAGTTTGAAACAAAGATTGCTTTCCATTTTTTCTGCTACAATACATAACAGCCACAGCTTTTTTATTACCAGTGCTCAACAGATGAGTTCATTTTTAACTAGATAAAATCAGATTATAATACACTCTCTTAATTTTGTCATAAAAGTAGGAAAATAATGAAAAGCAAGATTACAAACTTCCACATATTTAGGTCTACTCCAAGTTTACATGCAAGCCTACAAAATCCTCATAAAAGCAGGGTTTGTACTCTGCTCACTGAGGAGCTTGTATCCCATGGGAAGTTTGTACAGTTCAACAGTGAGGCAGACAGACTCCATTTCACCTTACAATGAGCAGCCATGTTCAGCTCAAATATTCTGAGACCAGAGAAAAAGCTAAAAGAGAAAACAAACCAAAACAAAGAAATGTAAACTTCTTGCTAGTTGAGTTCCTAAATACGAATCACAACCTATTTGCAAATTTTGCTAAAAAAATAGTCTCCAGTATCACTACATCTCTTAATCATGCATTAATGTAGGTGTGAGATATTATAATTTTCATTTGCTTTGTTATGTAGGTCCAGGCTTCATTTATAATGTGACATGTGACATAAATGAGATGTTTGCTATATGTTTGTTAACTTTCATGCAGTCTGGTAACTGTTAATCTGTAAACTAAGAACTAATAGCACTGTGCTGTGCAGGACTATGGAGAGAAAGTAGTCATTAGAGTGCTCTGGGTCTTTCCATTCTAATTGCCAAAAGATTATTTCCCTCTTTAAGGATGACTAACTACAACACAGAGCTCAGTTTTCAGACATGGCCTCTTTAATAGAACAGCTAAATTAGCTGTACAGGTATTTATCCTGGAGAACCATACCTCCTTGATTTACAACTTCTGAAAATGCTCTGTTACTACTCAAATAGAAGAAGTTATCTCAGGTCTTTTTGTCATTATACAGTGTTATCAACTGAAAAATGTGAATATAAAGAGTAGATAGGCTATACAAGATAGGCTATAAAATGCATACAAGTTATACATTAGAATATCCATTTTATAGGCATCCTGATCCTCAGAATTACTTTGTTGGGTAATAGGCAACAATTTCAAAAGCTATAGGAAAAAAATGCAAAAAAATCCAAACCAAAACCATCTCATATATTAAAGTAAATAAGAAAAGGAGATGGGTTAAAATCCTTCTACTGGTGCCCATGCTCTGACCTGCTGTCATTTTGTCAGAGCTCAGTGCCTTGACCATCAACTAAAGTCTGCAAATTAGGCACTACATCCTGCAAATCTCCTAAGGATGTGTTTCAGTTGTCTTAAGTGCATCTAACCTGAAATTCATCACAAAAACAGCTTAGCCTGGCCCCACTGACTACTGAGAGGGCAGAATCGTGTCTGTGTCTTATGGGCTGGCTGGTGGTGATGGTACCTCCCCATCACACAGGGACAGTATTTTAACCTGAAAAGTAAATGCAGCTCAAAAGAAAATCCTGACTCTGAGGGTGTGTCCCCAGTTGAGATACGGTGAGCTAACAGGGGCCAGCAGCACCAGCAGCTCCTTCTTCTCTGCACAGCCACAGTGGCACTAGAAGAAATGAGTTGGATTAGGCTTTGGATTACGATTTTTGATTTAATATATATTGTATTAAAAAAAGGAAGAAAAGTTAGAATTGTTCACTGAATTAGATCCTATGAGAATGAGCAATACATTTTGGCTACCATCCAAATTATGGTTTAACCATAAAAGCACTTACTTGTAACCATCTCTAAAACTCACATTTGGCTTGTCTTATGAAGGCCTAGGCTAGTAATAAATCTTGTGCATGCTGTTGAAGTAGCTAGAGGAAAAGCTAGAATGTCATTTCAAGAGAGCTACTTAGCTTAACAACTTGTTTCTCAAGTAAACTCAGCAGGAGTACTTTTTCTGATTTAGCCAAGAAGCTGTATAGCATTTAAAATTGCATAAAAGAGATGTGTATCATTTAAATTTATATAGGAACATAATGCAATATTACTGACTGCTAAAAATGACTGATTATAAATATAATTTTCTTTTCTTTGAGTCCTCTTGGACACAACATTTAATGCATTTTTTTTAATGAGTTGGAAATTTCACATTGTGCTTTTGCGATTGCACACTACCAAAAACAGTCAAAATATGGGAATAAATTGAAACTTAGAATTATTAAAGGTGCACCAACAACATGAGGTGTTTCAAGAACCTGTGTTAGTCTTCCTATCTGATCTGATAGGACAAAATGTCATTTTCAAGCCGTTATCAAAGATATTTCTGTTTAAATAGACCAAACCACAACTTAAACTATACCTAGAAACTGTAGGTAGGCAGTAGAAAATGGATTCTAGCTGTGATGTCAGTACCATACAAAATAATCTTTCTTGGGCCATGAACACAGATTAGCTAAAATCCCCACTTCTCTTATATCACAGAACCACGTATAAGTTGAAGCTTAGGTCTGCAGGAGCCTTCCTGCAGTTCTGAGATGTGCTCTGCAACTGCAACATGAAATTGAGCATAATGCAAAGTCCTGAATGAAGATCTGAAGTGTAATCTTGGATATCCATTACATCTGCATGCCATGGCACAAAAGCGTCAGGAAACCTCTGCTCTTGTGGAGGGCAGCTGGAGAACAGGGCAGGGTCCTTCAGAGCCCCTAAAGTAAGAGATGATCCCTATGTTGAAGCAACTAACCAACATGTGTAGCAACCCTGGTTTAAAACTTATCAATTGCTAAAATAAAACAAGCTAGATATTGTACTCCATACCTCCTACTGGAAGCTGTTCTCTAACTTCACACTTCTCTTGTGAGAAGCCTACAGACTTCAAGTCTGAAATCCTGGCATCTTTAATACATTCTAGTATTTACTTCCAAATGTATTCATAGAATGCAATTATATAGCAGAATTAATTCTGCTTGAATAAAAAGCTAAAACTCCTTTGATCTTCTATAATAGAATACTCTATTTCACTGGTCTTCTTGTAAAACCTTTCGTAGAGATTCATTTTATTTGATCATGGGTGCTCAGAACTTAATGTAGTATTTGAGTTTCGTCACTGTATTGTGTAAAGGCAAAAGCAGTATTTCCTTTACAACATGGAAATACATCCAATGATAAACACATAACCTAAGTATTTTTTCATGCTTATGTTAGTAGTTCATAATTACCTTTTCTTAATGCACATAAGTCTTGCTTTCTCCATTTTTAACTAGTGAAGTTTTTCTCCCTTTCCTCATAAGTTCCTAGGTTTGCAATAGAATAAGGTGCTGAAGACCCTGACAATTACTAGAAATAACAGAAAGCAAAAGTCTAGGAAAGGAACACCTACAATCTTAAACAGCATGTCGAAAGAAAGAAAGAAATTAGAGGGATTTATCTGTCTGCAGCATAGAGCAAAATTTACTGAAAGCTATTAATGAAAATTTTAGAGTATGATAGTAAGCTAGCAGCCACTCGAATGAGTTATAGCCATGTGAACAAAGGAACAATTTAAGGATTTGTCACATTTACTTCATCTCATTAAATCAAATATTCTTTTACATGACTGAAAGTCTTTTCATTTCATTAGAACTGGCCACTAAATCCTATTTTGCAAGTGTATTGCACTCCCATGGGACTTCACTGTCTTTCCTCTACCTCACTTCCTATGGCAATTCCACTTATCTTCTTTGAAGCTGTGGTAGGATCAAAATCTCAAAGGACCTGAAAGGTGCTTGATCTGGCACAAAAGGTCATTGCAATGTAAGAAAAGACCCTTTTAGGATCTTAGAGTTGTGAAAGTTACCAGGGAACCTGTCCAAGTGCTTAAAGCCCTGATTGGGATTGGATTTGCAGAAGACCTCAGTAGAGTAACCCAGTGAGAACAAATAAGGAGTGACATAAGCCTGCCCTTCTGTACATATGTATTGGTTTTCCCAGAGCAGTGTTAGAAGCACAAGTCCCTTGTCTTTGTTGTGATTCTATTGTGATCCTATCTTGCAGCTATATTCCATGCAGCCTACTACATTGCTTTGCCTCCATCAGAAAACATGCAAAATATATCCCAGAACAGGACTGAAGGTTATCTCAGTGCTTGATAATATGTGTGCTTTAAAGAATTAAAATCAAGGATATGGTGACAGTAGTTGTAAAGTTCATAGTCCTAAGCACAGTGCAGATATGTAGTGGTGTAATGCCAGAGATGGACTTAACGACTTGTAGTAGGAAATGTAAAACATAAAGAAAAAAATTGTATACTAACTATTCTTATATTTCATATATGATCTATGTAGTTCTAATCTGCCATCTAATTTAGTTCCTGCTTCTGATTTTTCTGTACAGCTGAGCAGATACACATTAAAAAGGAATAATCTTCAATTTATTACCCATTAGATTTATTTGTTAATTACCATCATAAAAGCACTCTGTTGTCTAGGCTTTTATTCTTCTGTTAGTGAGTAAATTCACCTACAACTAATTGATAATAATGCACAAAACTGGTTGAGATCCTTTGAATCATACACAGAAGAGTGGTCATGCTGAAGACATGAAAACTGTTGCTATAGCATTTTTCAGCAGTGCTGCTGTTTAATATGTAGTCCCATAGATCAAAACCATTTGTATGTAGCAGGTTTAGCATATTGAAGTGATAGGATTCTGCTCAGTGCTGTTCATTACAAAGGGCACTGGTTTTATATCCTCATCCCCCAAAAAATTGTGTGGAATATAAGGGGCATGCTCAGGCCCATTGGGGGTTCCTCACAGTTCTGCTCTCTAATCACACACACCTTAGCCACATACTTAGCACCCTACTGTGAAATTATCAGTTTACCCAACTGAACCTAGGTTGTAATCAAAACCAATTTTTTTCCAGCCACATAAATAGAAGAACTCAATTTGAAAACCCTGTCCTAGAAGCAAAAAGGAAGCTACAGCAGCATAACATGCCCAACGCAGAACTTGGAACAAAGCCTATGCAGGCCCAAGGTTTCCGAGGTACAGTACCATGTCAGCTGTCTTGGTTAAGATGTTGCTTTCCTGTTTATGTGACAATGATTTTGTCATAGTCTGGTTAAAAGAATAATGTTGCCAATGCTCAAAAGGTTATCACCTATATCTTAGCAATTTTCTCCCTTAAATGTCCAGGTTCCAATAGTTGCAGGACTCACCAGCCAACTAAAACTTTCAGAGGTGCAGAGGAAAAAGAGAACAGTTTAATCTAGTGTTTCCTAAAGGCTGAGAAGCTGAAAGCACAATAAGACTCCCAAAGTAATTTTCTAAATAAAATCATAAATTCTGTTCCTGGGAATGTACGACTCTCTCTTGAGCACCCGAGACTGGCAACACTGAAATACTTAATTGTACTTTCTCTAAATTACTCTTAATTGATGTTTGGTATGTTTCTAAGCTAGCTCATCTAGCAAGTAGCAAGCATCAATTAAGTTAAAAGCCTCAAGCACAGTGTTATAGGAGTTTACAGGAATGCAGCCACTTGGTAACATAAAAATTAATGTGCTCAAAAGGAGCTGTATAAGCAGCAAACAATACTGGTATCGACAAATGAAATTTAACGTAAGGTTATAGTCAGAGAATGAGGCTTGTTCTCCTTTGCAACAGTAGAAAGCTCCTCATCAACCTTACCTAGACCCAAATTTGCCCGCCTGCGCCCCGCTCCCAGGAGGTCCCGCAGCGTGAGTGACCTGTCGCAGTGCCGGCGCGACCCTGCCGGGGCCAGTGGGCTCTACGGTACGTCCCCACTGCCCACCAGCCCTGGGGCCAGCTGGGGTCACAAACCCTGCACCTTCCCCAACCTCCCTCACTGAGCAGCATGGGAGAGCAGCACGGGGACCCCCGGCACCCACCCCGCACCCCGAGGCACTGGAGAGGGGACACCAAGTTTGCACAGCTGTCATGTGTGTCACTTGTTGGATGCCTGAACCCCGTGTGTTTGGAGAGAAAAGCTCATCTAGTGTTTACCTCCTCTAGGTAACAAATGGAATGAGACATTCACTGGGGATATTTTCCTCACTCTGGTTGGGAGGGAAATTATGAGGAATGTATTACTTTGTAGACAAAGCTGAATTTATAGGTTAGGAAAGAGGTTTTTAAATTACCTCACAGATCACTTTTATTGATGTAATTATTTTAGCTACGCAATATCCACTTCTAAATGGATTTCAAATATCAAAGGATATTTATATCTTTTCATTTATGGCTGATCTGCCATAGATTAGAAATATGTTTTAAGCTTTGTATTAGTACAAGAACCCACAAATATTTTTCCTGGAATGTCTGCACTCTTTATTTTCTTGCCTTTGATACACTGCCACTCGGTGTCAGCCAATATTGTTATGTGCTGTCCCTGCTATGTTGTGACTAGATCAGAACTTTTGTCTTTCTTGTTTGTGTTGACTGATGTAGAAAAACCACTCTTCACCCGTGATGCATCACAGCTGAAGGGGACTTTCCTCAGCACAACTCTTAAGAAAAGCAACATGGGTTTTGGATTTACCATCATTGGTGGGGATGAGCCGGATGAGTTTCTCCAGGTGAAGAGTGTAATTCCTGATGGGCCTGCAGCACAAGATGGGAAAATGGAAACAGGTAATTATGAAAGTTTCTCTGTTCTTTTATATGAGAAACAGAATGAGAAATAGATTTCTGAGTCTCACCCTCTCCATGAATGCATACATTTTCCATGTGACTTTCTCTATTAATATGTAGAAAAGGTAAGTTCCTTGGTAAAAAATTCTTGCTAATAAGTGCCAGGTAGCTTATTTTTCCTATTTCACAATATTTTAAGGGAGAAAAGATCTCTGCATTTCCCTACATAAAAATGGGTTATGGTCTATAGACTGTTTACTTAAGGGAAGTCTATGTGGAAAGAAAAGAGATAGAGAACACAGACTACTAAGTGCAAATTTATTTCTTTAGAAAGGATGGTTTTGCAGAATAATCAGTTGAGTCTCATCCAATACTGTTCTCATTAGAACCATCATAACAAGAGTTTTCAGTGTGGCATATGGACACACAGGCATTTGTGTCCTATTAAAAAAAGAATCTGTGAAAACTCATGAAATAAAAGAAACTGCTTCTGATGAGATTGAAAGCTGCTCTGAAGATCTGGACCACCACTGCAAACATTTTCATATTCACAGATTGATAAGGATTGCAAACTACTGTCTGAAAGGTCAGATCAGGTCTATGTATGGATGAAACTCTTTTTGGAGGGAGATAAATTCCGTTTCCAAGCAGTTACCATCTTCTTTAGGAAAAGACAGTCAGAGAATAATAGAATGATTTCAATTGGTGGTGATCTTCAGTCACTAGCCCCATACTTAAAATAAGGCTAAGTTTGTCCTTGGATCTGGTTTCTCAGGGTCTTAAGAAAATTTCATTAAGACACAGATTCCACAGCCTCTGTGGACTCCTGTCCCAGTGTTCCTCCACTCTCATGGTGAAGACTTTGGCCCAGAATTTGTGGATGCCTCATCCCTGAAAGTGTTGAAGGCCAGGTTGGACAGGGCCCTGGGTGGCAAGGGAAGTAGGTGATCTTAAAACTCCCTTTCAATACAAACCATTCTCTTGTTCTATGATTTTTGCTCTTTAGGTCCACTGGGGTTTCCACAGCTACAGCTGGTTACTAGGGACTGAAGTCGTGTGTTCCTGTGTTTCTGCAGCCCTGTCACTCTGTACCATCTCTCCCCAGCATAATTTATCCATTTTCATAATTTGTCTCACCAAGACATTGAAATAAAGAAATGCTAGTTTGGGATTGTTGTTGCCTCTGTAGAAAACCCATTTCATGGTGGCCAGAGTCACTGTGAAGATAATTTTCTAAATTTTGATAACAGATCATTGTGGATGGGTCACAGCAGCAGAGAAAGATCCTTTTGGTGTATTACAGTGCAAGGAGCAGACACAGAAATAAATGCAGGCACAAATGATGCGAGTGGAATAGTCTGAAGTGATTTTTCTGGAAATTTCATTTCATCTTTATTATAGTTGGGGTTTTTTTTATCAGAGTCACATTCATGTATCAGAATAAATCACTCTGGATTCTAGTTTATTTTGTTGGACTCTCTAGGACTTGCCAAGTAGGAAGTGTAAAGGTTATGAAAAGTATTATTTAAAGAAAATACAAACAGGATTTGCTGCAGAGGTAATGTTATAGCTATCATGATGTTTCTAACACCAAAGAGATAAACAGAAAATTTATATGAAGAAACAAAATGTAAGAAAGAAGTAGAATATAAATTTTTAGTGCTGATTTTACAAAAAGCATTATTCTAACGGCTTTTTCATTCTCATATTTGTTGCCATTTTAACTTAATGCAGTATAGTTCCCAAATGCAAAATTTATTAAATTAGCTGATTAGGGGAACAAAGGATACAATAGACTTCCTGAGTTCAGAAGATTACAGTGACATAAACTTCATTTTTCCTTAATATTTTCATACTATCTAATACATGACATGAGAGCTTTTCCTTGTTTGTCATGGTTTAGCATTCTCAGATGCAGAACTCAAATATAGTTACTTGCTAATCCCTCTGAAGTGTGGATTGTTATTAGTGACATTGATCATGGAGTTATTTTCTCTAGAAAACAGGATATCCTTGCAACTTACTTGAATTTTTATGCTGAAACTGAATATGGGTTTCATAATACTGTTGATGGTCATTATTGTAGTCACGGATTGTACTGAGAACATGTAAGAAAAATGCTTGTTAAAATGCATAGAAATAGCATTGTTTTTTTCCTCAGGTAATTAATTCAACTACATTAGGAATGCAAAACAGAAATGTACATTCAAATATATAATCACTCTACAATTATGTGACCCCAAAACATATAAAATTTGGTCTCAGAACAAATTTTGGCCATAAATGTCTTTGTTTTTAAGAAGAGTGACAGATTGTGATGTAAAGTCATTGGAGAATCCCAGACTAATGATTCTGCCATCTAACATTGGTTCTTTGAATAAAGTGATTTTTAAATATGTTAATGGAAAACTGAAAAAATATATTTAAAGTCAGAATGTTTATAAAAGCAGTGTTCAACAAAGTGGTTGCTTTTCTTGATATCAAATCCTTTTAACGTTTCCTGAAATAGTTTCTCTCCCTATTGAGCTATTGTACAATATAATCAACTGGAGATATGAAAGCCTCCCAGCTTCCATCAATAGCTTTTTGTTCATAAAGCTGTTAATATCTCACCTTGGAAAACTACTTGAAATTACATCTGTTTCTTGTTGTTTGTTAGTTAGGCAGTATTGGATAATGAATAGAGCTTTTAAAATATTTTATTTATTCTTTTGATACTATGTGTCATTGTTCAATTTATGTGCACTCCATATATGATCAGAGTCATAGGAAGCTTTGATTATAGATCAAAACATCATATTGTGGCAGTGGAGCATCACAGTAGAAAGTCTGAGGGCAGTGACAATGATCTGTGAAGCACCCTGTGTGTAAGGCATAACCACAGCACTGCTGCTCCCAGCTCTAATATTATTCTGGACGCTGTCCCTTGCAAAGTTCATACTATTTTTTGGCCAAGTGGTTATCAAAATCTTCATACTTCAGACCTGCATCAGACTTGGAGGAAATACAAAGAAAAGGCATCATCTCATTTATCGTACGTAAACTTTGGCCACAAGAGCTGTACTTCAAGATAATTGTTAAAGAAACAAGCTCATAGAAAACTGCTTTGGTTTATTTCTCCACCCAAAATCTAATATAGGTGTCAGAGACAAATGCTATTCAAAGAGTGAGTCTATGTAAGACATTGTTGCCCTTAAATGTGATCATAACAACACAGTTTGACCTGAAGGTTTCAAAATGGAGCAATTTTGGATTTCATCCTTTGGAACATGGAGCCATAGAATGGTTTGAGTTGTAAAGGGACTTCAAGATCATCCAGTCCCACCTCCCATACCAGAAACAGCTGAATCTTCCACTAAACCAGGTGGAACTCCAGTGTGTAACCGCACAGCTTGATATCATCAGCAAGTTTCTTGAGGGTATACTCAATCCCTGTGTCCAAATCACCAACAAAGATGTTAAATGGTGCCTGTCCCAGTACTGACCCCTGAGGATCCCTGCTGAAAACCTGGAAGCCACTGGGAACACAGAAGCAGCTGCCTGACAGTGACTTGGCGTTGCTGTGAAAGAAAGCATTGAAGCAAACTGAGTGCACTGAGATGCAACAAGAGATATCGGAGGTCCTGACAAGCTATCAGAACCCCTTGGTGCCCAGTGCTGGGCACTAAGAGGTATTTATATTTGTCCTAGACCCACAATAAGCCTCACAAGTAGACTCAGAGGAACCACATCTCAGTGGATGAGTCAAAAGCAACCAAAATTACATTCCTGATTCCACTTGCCAGATGTTTCAGAATTCATAGGGGCTATTATGCCCTCATGTAAATCTAGCATCTGTGCACTAATGGTTGTTAATAATCCTGAAAATGCCTTTCTAGGATATGTTTTAGCATTTGGAGCTCAATCAAGCTGCTGGATATGGACATTACATTCCACAGCATCTCTGTCTATGTCAGGACAGCTTAGGAGCTGAGACCACATTATTTTCTGGGAGGTTACATTGCTTTGTCTTGTCTGAAACCTCATGCAGCCAACAGAAAACTGTGTTTAAGATGCCCCTGCATTCGATTAAAATGCTGGTAAAAGACTGCATCTACATGAAAAGATTTTTATACAGTGAGTGATTTTGACTGACTGCTGTTCTAAGGCAAACAAAGATTTAGGCCTGCGGCTGAGTCAGATAAAAGCTCAAGCTGCAAAGGCAAAAACTCTACTACAATTCTCAAGGTTATTCAATGAACTGGATAAACTGAAACACTCCCACATAATCAAGCTTGGGGAAAGATTCTCACACTCCTCATTTCAGCAAGCTCCATTTCCTTTGGCAAAGGTTTCCAGGAAACAGCTCAAAGACATGGTGCAAAAGTGGTTCTTGAAGTCTGGTGATGACCCTTCTGACTTATGAATATCTTTGGTCAATGCAGGTTAAACTTTCCAGAAACATAAATCTGTGGGGAAATGTCATAGCTCAACAGTGTGAATCAAGAAAGGGGAAATATGTTCTTTCATTTCATTTGGCAAGATTGCACTTGGCCGGCTTTACGGTGCTAAATCATCTGTAAACAATGCAAACTCGGGCTTTTTTAGATGTTGTTCTGTCAGGAATGGTAGTTTCTCTACATCAGTTGATCTATTCTAGAGATAGAAATTCATAAATTAAAGAGAAGTTTCAGCTAACAGATATAGTTGTCTACAATTCAGATGTCTATACCTATCATATCAGCAGTCAACTATTATTTTTGTATGACTGTAATAGGGTGAAGCCTAGAGAAAAAAGCTAGAGATTGGTCCCACATCTACCACTCAGAATTTCTACTGCCCCCTAGAGATGTCCAAAGGGAAAGAGTTGTTAGAAATGCTGGAAGGAGTGGCCCACTCCCTTGCTTCTGTCCATGGACGTATGTCAAGACCCGCATGCATAACAATTCGTCATATGATGAATTTTTCAAGAAGCTGAGGTTACTTTAAATGTAAGAAAATTAGAGAAATCACACTTGTTG